GTTCTAATATAAGCCTGGGGACGGTACTCGCTATGGAAAGGGTTCTTTCTGCCACCTGAGACGACATGAACCCCACCAAACCTTGTGTGTTCGTCTACCCTCATCCTCCTTCAACACATACAAGTCGCTCTCAAACTCCGTGTAGGTCTTTGCAGCACCAGGCTTAGTGAGCACCATACCCCTCCGTATCTGAAGGCGTGATAACAGCAACTCGAAAAAGGCGCATTAGTATTACTTGATTTTTCTTGACGCCCTTCAACATCACCCCACACTGATCACCAGCCATGCCCTGGTCAAGCGTCTTGTGGAACATCTCGACACCCATACACTGCGATTTGAACTTCTCCTTACCCTGAGTAAATTGAGAATAAGCTCTCACTACCAGCAAGAAAACTAACAACCTCATAGCAGCACTTCGATATCACCACAAGACCGTCACACACACGAAATTGAATTAGGAACAATGTCCACCTTTTCATCTAGAGATTGTATAGAGCAACTCACCTGGCCAACGATTTCCAGGGCATCACCAACTTTTACCAAGCCTTGCTCGATGCGCCCAGTCACAACGTAACCTATGATAAAACCACCCACCAACTTCACATCAGTCACGAATTCCTCACCTTTTCCCTGGATATTAACTACCGTCTCAATCGGCAGCAAAAACGGCTTGTCTTGGAGTCGAGCTGAGATGTCCAAGATCAGCCCACACCGTCGAACAACCCAACCCTACGAGGCTCGGGTATATACTCATCAACCGCATCCATCAACTTCAATATCGCCTCTTTGCCATACTCCCCCTCCTCCCCACGAAGAGCCTTCAATGCTGATCCCTTCACAAAAGGCGTCTCTTCCCCTGAATCAATGCTATCGGCAAGGCAATGATATATGAGTATCATACTATAGCCCTCTACAGTGCTCCAAATTTATTCAAAATATAGTCGAAAAATTCGTCACCCACTGAGTGTTGGAACATAATTTATTAATACACTATTCGTCACAACGATATGAGTACACCCTCCAAAAACTGTGACAGTTTCAGGCCTACATACTGAGATAGGGTCGAGGTCATACAATGTATAACTGCAGGTTACTGCAGATCATAAAATATATGATTCGACGAAGTTATATGGCAGCAGACACCATTTCGATTTAGTACCCAAATCTCAGGCGGTAAGTAGGGGTGAAGCAAATGCCCAAATTCTTTTGATTGTTCCGAAAAATATGGTAAATGACCTACCGGG